CTTGTAGGCATTACTATCTTCAACCCCCTTTTCTCCCTTCAGTTCAGTTTCTCTCCTGTGCTAGCTTTTTATTTTATGGATCACATGGAGGAAAAGGCCAGAAGGCCAGAGTTTTATTGAAGTACAAGAGAGAGAACAAGACGATCTTTCCTAATGCTGGAAATATCTGACACTTGATAAAATACCTTATTTACAGTTTATTTAAAATGGTGGGTTTTTTTCCTATTACCTCTACAAAGCCTCACAAGGCCTTCTTTTTTGGGAGCTTTTAAAAATCACTACTTTCTTGTCTTGTGTTTCTCTGCATTGATGTTTCTTGTGTATCATTATAATATTTAGCATATGTTTGACTGTTTTAAAATCAGTTGTGTGTGTGTGTGGGTTGGTAGTTATTTATGAATACTGAACAGTGTACAGGTAGTTCCCAAGTTACACATAAGGAAGGTCCCCTAGGTTTGTTCTTAAGTTGAATTTGTATGTAAATCAGAACAGGTACATTTTTAGTGTAACTCCACAAGCTTTGGATAACATAGGGAAGGGCTAACACCTCTGTGGTATTTGATTCTATGTCTGTGCTCCTGTTCAGAAGATTTCACCTCACTTTCTGTCTTTATGATAATTGTATTTTGAAAAATGTGGCTTGTTCTGGAAACAAGGATTGGTGAGAAAACTTCAGTGGAGACACCTTTTCCCCAAGATAACTCTTTCAGGAGTTAATTTCCCTTCCTAGGGGGAGATTTCTCTCACATCCTGTTGTCTCACCACTGTTTTTAACTATAGTTATTTGTAAGTTGAATGCTTGTAACTCGGGAATTACCTGCATTTGTTAATGTTGAAGATGCAAGAAGATTATTTTGCTTTTTTTGCCAAGCTGTATTCTTAGATCAGGGATGAATTTGCACCTGGCATCATCCCTGACCAGTAAGGATGATGAGAGTTGCAATTTAACAACATTAAGGGAGCCATACATTACCTATCCTTGCATTGGGTTGTACATTCACACTTCGAATTTTAAATATGCTGTGACTGCTCTGAGCAACAGAGGTATTAAGGCCTTTCTATATGTTTATTACTCCTTTAAATTTTATTTTGACTGTTGTCCTCATAGCCCGTTCATATTGCTTAGCTTCGTTCTTTCAAACTTCCTCTTCCATCTTTTCTCCTTCTTTGCAAAGGAGCCAACATTTTTGTTCCTCTTCCATAAACCTGCTTTGAAATACTGTACAAGAATAACATCATGTTGATTGAAGACATTATTTGTAGGAGTAAAGATGTGATTAAGCCAGTTCTTTTTAAGAGTGTTGCTTCATGCATAGAAATCAAACTCAAGAGCCAGGGAGGGTTGCAGAAGTTAGCTGCATGCTGTGTTTTTATTTCTTCTGAATTAAAGCAAAAAGATTATAGATGTCATATGTTTCCAGGCAGCTAACACTCAAAGGAAATTTCTCTGAAACTCTTAGCCTACGTTTGTAATAAAACAGCGAGGTTTGACTCATGGAGCCTGTAGGTGTGATGGAAGATGAAAGTCCAAGCAGGCTGAAATAGCACAGAAATCGTCTAAGGCAGAAATCAGTACCATTTATAGCATCTGTAAGCTTTCTGGTATCATTGTAACTGATACAGAATACAGAGTTTCCTCAACTGAGATTTTGCAGATTGGTAAATTGTGCCTTTTTATTTTTTTTTTAAAAAAAGATGACATTTTTGTTTATAGAAAATCTAAAATGAACTTCTGGCTATTGGTAGTTACAATAGGAGAAAGGCTGATACAGTTTACTTTAGGTCTGGATATGAGAAACAAAACCGGATCCAGATACTCCTGGGTGGTCCATCCTGGCTATAGTTGGATCCTGCATTGCAGATTGTTAGGGTGGGTGGATTAAGTAACCTCCAAAATCTTTTGTGACACTTTCACATGCACAAAGATTTTTTTTCTTTTTCGGCTAGCAAGAATCTTCTCTCTTTGATATACGGTATTGTTTGATTGTTGTTGTGGCCTGTAAAGGCAAAGCAGAAGAAAATTGTTCTTTTTCTAAACTGTTTATCTTCAGATGTTTCTCAATGGCATTTACTTGTTCAGTAGCTGTAACTCTTCATAATTACTTGTTTCATTGGTGTTTTTTATAAATACCTTTAGGCATGGAAAATCTACACAAGCATCTCTTAAGCTATGTTTGTTTTTGTTGTTCCAGAAGTCAAAGGGATGCTTGTAAGCTCAGCAATTCTAAAGTAAAGAATAGATCACAGGGGCACCACAGTTTTGGAATCCAGACAAATTAAGCATAGTTCATATTTTTCCAGATAGCATGTTAGCACTGTGTTTTCCTCCCATTGCCTAGAATACTATTACTGATAAAGATCCCCTTTCCTCTGATAAACTAGTCAATTGCTACTCAAAATGGTCATCTGTGTACTCTTGCTGGTTAATGAAAAAGACATACAATGTTTACATAAGTAACAAACTATCAGAAAGTGAGACATAAAGTTAGAACTCTTGATAGAGCATGTTTTTATAACTTCTAGGCGAACATTTGATGGTCCTGCTCTCGACTTCATATTACTTCACTCATATGCATGACTATAGGCAGTGAAGGGTGCTTTGAGATGGGAATAGAAGTCATCTATATGTGGCTGCAGTATCAGAAGAGACAGATCATGTGACAACCTTATTTATTAATTCAAAACATTTGAGTTGATCCTCACAATCACAAGAACATAATAATTGTGAACATAAAAAGGCTGTTCTGCAGGACAGGTAATGGTTTCAGAAGTTTGTTGTAAGAAGCAGGGAGGGTAACTTTTGGCTCTGGGGTGTGGTGGAGGTTCCTTCTTTGGAGGATTTTAAGCAGAGGCTGGATGGTCATCTGTCAGGGGTGCTTTGAATGCAATTTTCCTGCTTCTTGGCAGGGGTTGGAGTGGATGGCCCATGGGGTCTCTTCCAACTTAATGATTCTATGAGTGCTTTCTGAGTGGTCCTATTTCTTCCCATTTTTTAATTCAGTTTTTAACAGGAAAAAAACTTACACATGCATACATACACATCTTGGACGACAATTATGTACCCAACTACAATTTCTCTTACCAGTGTACATCTCTACTCTAATTACATGTAACTCCAAAATACAAACAAACATACATAGTACTGCACATATCTCTATAGCACATATATGTGTGTTTATATGTTTAAGAAAACTGTAGTTTTTCATTCACTCATCTCTGTGACTAGACTTTGGACTGTTGTAAATGAGTTTCAAAAAAAAGTTGTATGTGCTACAAGTAATACAAGTTCAGATTGAGACAAAAGGTTATCTTAATTCAAATGCCAAAAAAGTGCAAACTTCAAACAGTTATTGAACTGTGATCAGAAGGGCAGTATGAACTCTGTGATATGATGAACAATCAGAACTGACATACGTATTGAATTCTCAAATTTTCTACTAGATTGAAATGTGTGTTCTTTTAATAACTCAATTCACCCAAGAACCTTAATGTCCCTGATCTTTTCAGAGTCAGTTCATATGTTAAAATTTTAAATACTCATCTCATTTTTAAGTTTTTTCCCCAAAGTCGGTATGTTCTTTGGTTGCCCTCTCAAATGAAGATTACACCTCTTTTTAGATAACAAATTTCATGTGGAAGAGCCTTTTCTTTTTTCATCGGGCTTTTATATTTAATAGTTCTGTTTATGCATTTTCTTATGGGTTTGTTCTACTGATACTAAATTTGATTATTGGTGGTGGGGGTTGTTTGCTTTTTTGTAATGTGTTTAGATACATTTTTTCTTAAGTGGGTTGAAACATAATAACTAAATGTTTACCGTTCTTTATTAAAGAATTAGTTCTACTATCATCAATTGTTCTTGGTCTCTTGGATACCTTCTTTCCCCCTTGATCTTGTTTAAGTTTAGAGAGTTATCTCATAGCACTTACAGTTGTGCATCTTCTCTATTTTTCAAATTATTTTTCATAGCCGTCTTGTTCTGGGAAGTCTTTTAAATTTTTTTACTTTGGCAACATTTCAGTAAATCAAGCACCTAAAAGTATTAATTTGTTCATATACATCTATTTACATTTGCTTGTCACCACTCCCTTTGACATTTTGATTTCCAGCTCATTTATGTATCAAATGAAGAAATTCAGTAGTTTTTTGTGTATTCTTTCTGATATCTTTACTTTTAAAATCAATTGTTGAGAGAGAATCAAATGTAAATGTATTAAGGAAAGCTGAACTAAGAGAATGTGGGAGTGTTTCATTTCACCTTTTCCTGTTCTAACAGGTTTCTTCTTCTTCTAAATACAAATTAGTGTGGTCTACTAGTAATAGCGCTATTGAGGGTATGTTGATACTGAGTATGTGTTGTTTAATAATAAGTATGTATTATTAGGGCCCTTAGGTGTCATAGCGAGTTAAACCGTTGAGCTGCTGAATGAAAGGTTGGTGGTTCGAATCTGGGGAGCAGGGTGAGCTCCCGCTGTTAGGCCCAGCTTCTGTCAACCAAGCAGTTCAAAAACATACACATGTAAATAAATAAAGAGATACCACTTTTGGGGAAAGTAACGGTGCTCCATGCAGTCATGCTGGCCACATGACCTTGGAGGTGTCTACAGACAACGCCGGCTCTTCAGCTTAGAAATGGAGATGAGCACCACCATCCAGAGCCGGGCACAACTAGACTTAATGTTAGGGGAGATCTTTTCCTTTACCTTATGCATTATTATTATTATTATTATTATTATTATTATTATTATTATGCAGTGAGTAAAAATACACTCAAAATCAAATGGCCAGTCTCACCTACAATATCTAGCAAAGAAATGGAACTTGTATAGGATCCAACTTAAACATTTCTCAGTTGCCTCAGTAGATTTATTCTACTTGAAACTACCAGCTAGAGTAGCTTATATACTACTTGGAATTGGTTTGTAGATGCTGATTAAAAATATTTAATTTAAATACATTTTCTCCCCCCCCCCTTTCCCCACCCCCACCCCGGAAAAAAGTCATGGAATGGGGAGATGATGTTAAAACAATCTCAGAAGATGAAGCTGTGATGTTGGTGAACCATCAAGCAACAGGAGATATTTGCACTCTAATGATGTGCCTTCAGGACAAAGGCACGGTATGCTGTTTTCTTTATATACAATTGTTATGTACTGGGTAAGCCTCCATGAGTACTTCCTGAAAACTGCAACACTGGAAGAAAGAAGGTATTTCATATCCAGCCCCAAGGCACAAATGTATATTCATTGAGCCTTTTCCCCACTTTCCTCTCCTGCAGATGAACTAATGTCCCCCAGGCCAGGGCTTGTTAAACTTTTTTCCACTGGTGACCCCTTTCCACTGAGAAATTTTTACTTGACTCCAGTTATATAGATACTGTATATGAAACAGGTATCAAAATAAAACATTTCTGGTAATAAATCAGCATTTGCAAGACTTTCTAAGCAGGCTAATTTTCCTTTTGTGGAGTATAGCCGAAGCATTCTCTGCAGAGTCCATTGTAAACTCTGCATGTTTTTGCTAACAGATTTGTGCAAATGGTTGCCATTCAGAAACCTTTTATTGTTATCAAAAATTTTGTGACCCCAACATTGAGCTAAGGGGACCTTATTTGGGATCAGAACCAGCAGTTTGAGAAGCAATGCCCTAGATGGCAGTTTCTTAGAAGCAAGGCGCACAAACAAGTGAGGTATTTGCAGGCCAGGAATAATTTAAAATGAGTGGCCCAGGAAAGAAAACCAAGATATATGTCTTAGGGGAAGGCACAAAGAAAGTTTTACTTCCTAATGCCAGTGTCCTGCTAGACAAGCTCTTGTTTATGGAGCAAATGTTATGCAGTAACAGAAAGAAAAACAGTGGGCATTTAAACACATTAAACACTTATTTTTGCTTTTATGTACTGGAAACAGTGGCTGCCAAATGAAAAATACTATATCAATGTAGTCACTTAATGTAACACATTCTTAAGTCTGACTTCTGTGTAAGAGGCAGTGGAATGGGAATTGTATACATCCCAGTATCTCCAGTATTAATTGTGAGGTCTGGTCTGCAAACAATATTTGTTTGGAGAAGGTTATGATCTGAGGCTGATTTTAGCATAAGATAGATTTTACTTTAAAGTAAATATGTTTTAGTATTTAACCTTATTACTTCTCAGTATAAAAATACAAAATCGTATATACTAGCTTTGCTCTATTTGAAAGAAAACACCATTAAAATTGCAAACTCATTTCAAGAATTTTTAAAAAAGGATTTATCTCAAAATGTTTAACACAAACAAATTATTTTTTTCTGTAAAATAAAAACTTTGAAAATATCGGGTTAAGGTGGAAATTGACTTCCAAGAGATCATGCTGTTATAAATAAGCACTTGTTGAAACCTAACAGCACATTAACATTCTCAAAGAACCACATTTATATTTAAGCATTTTTTTAGTAAGAAAAACAGATTTCTGCCAATTTCTTTATATGCTTCTATACTGTACTTGTTATGAAATGCATGTAAAACATATATGATCATGTTATTGCAGCAACCTGTCTCTGAAATCCTTTTTCTTTTTATGTACTGACAAGTTCTCATCTGATCTTTTTCAGGTTGTTCGTCAGATGATGTGGCTGATGGATCATATTTTTAAATATACAAACTTTGGAATAGTATCTTTAATTCATGGAGACTTCTTTATAAGACAGGTAACAAGTTAAAATATTAGTGGTATCATTGTTTTCCTGATATTCAGATAAGTTATAAATTATGGTTTGATGCATTTGGAAATATGGAAAAATGGAGTTTACTCCAAACAGATTTTGAAAATTGCTTATTTTGGTGTATAAGATGAAAAAGAGGAAAGTTTTGGAAACAAACTTAACCTCAGTTTATAGAAATGGAAAAAAAAAACAATGATTTAATTTTTCTTTCCTCAACCCACTAAATTTGGTATTTACTGGGTGGGAAATCCTTTGGAAATTTTTCTTGGAAAAAAACCTCCCAAAGAAATGTAGTTGATTTCTTAAGAAAAATAATTTTCTTTATTTTACTTGGGTATCTTTTTCTATTTTAGGGAAAAGCTTACCGTGACCAGCAGCTTGTGCTTCTTCAAGAACATCTAGAAAAATATTATAGGAGTCGTGATCGCAAGTGGATTGTATTGTTTCCAGAGGGTGGTTTTCTTCGAAAAAGAAGAGAAACCAGCCAGGCATTTGCCAAGAAAAACAATTTGCCATTTCTCACACATGTTACATTGCCAAGACTTGGGGCTACACAGGTTATATTGAAAAAGCTGGTAGCTCAGCAAGAAAATGGAACTCTGGCAGGAGGAGATGCTGCAGAAGCAGGTAGAGCTCATCATCAAATGTTTGTATATTTAATTGTCCTCTTATCAGAATTTCAGTGAGTGTCAGCTTTTGTATATAGCATAATCCATAGACCGTATTGCACAGGCCAATTTACTCACAAATTTGATGTCTTTATCAATTTGGTCCTCATGCAAACTTATGCAGCACTTTTAAGCTGCAACCAAATTGAAGTTTCCTTTGAGCTTTTAATAATTAACCAATACTTATAGATTCTTTTTCTTTCAAATGGCTGAAAATAAGTGGTTGATCTTTGATCATTTAATTGCTTCTGTTTAGCTGTTCTTGGGATCACAGAGCATAACATACATGTATTTCCATAAGAGGGATATGGTGAGTTTGCAGGAGACAGTGATGATTAGTTCTGTATCTTTGACTTATTTTCCAGTTGTGCATCTATTAGACTTTCATCACCAGAACAAGAATATATAGCTTTCTCACTTACTGTGTGAAAGCATTATAGCTTTTAAAACAGTTCTAATGGAATCATCTCCTCCTCCTCCTCATTTAGAGCACTCGTCACCACTATGGTCTCTGTGGGCTGGAAAGTTTAAAAACTGCTGGCTTGATGTCATGGAAATAAGTTCTAAAATAATGTGTACCCATTACTTCTTTTAGAAGAAAAGGTCTTCACTCTGTTTATTTGTGTGTATGCAGGTCTATTTAATTGCAGTTGTACTATCTGTATTTTTGGGTGGTTCTTCATATGAATCAATGAGTTCCAAGCAGTTCTGAAAAGTGGAGGCTGCCTTCTGAGAGGCAGACATTGCTCAGATTAACAGCATTCAGAAATGTAGCTAGTCATAGTAATGAAAGATGTCATTTTACTGGAAATCTCAAATGTTAAGAGCATAATGGAAGTTTAGCAGATGCACAGGACTGGGGGGGGGGGGGGKGTTGACTATTCCTCAATGTGACCTGAATGTATGTTCTACCTTCTCACAGTTCACTTGTTTGATTTTTAATTTTAATCAGAGGAGACATATTTTTTTCCTTGCTGAAAGATACGCAAAGAGAGTACACAGAAAACAATGATAGTAAGAGGTGAACAACTGCAGTTCTGCATGCTTTTCACCTGAGTTTTCCACCTTTGCTGTTTCTTTTTCTTACATGAAAAGTGTAGATGCACAGGCTGTTCTACTCCAAAAGGGTTGCAAGTATGGTTTCTGCTTCTGACTAGGAATGACAAGTCTCTTCCCAAGCTCAGTCTCCTCCCTGCTAGGCACGTAGAAAGTGCTTTTGAGAGCAAGAGCCCGTGTTTTGAGTGTTGGATTGCAAATCTGGAGATCAGGGTTTGAATTCCCAGGTGGGTTTGGAAACCCACTGGGTGACTTTGAGCAAATCACATTATCACTCTCTTAGAGGAAAGCAAAGTCAAATGACTCTGAACAAATCTTGCAAAAAAACAAGATTGGGTCACCTTAAGGTTGCATAAGTTGGAAATGACTTGAAGGCACACAAGAACATCATATAGTACTTTCAGGGGTTTTCCTGTTGCCCTTTCCTGCGCCCTGTACAGTCAAAGCAAACTCCTGAAAGCAGAAAGAGCAAAGCTTCTGAGAAAGTGGGACAGCAAAGACTTTGTAATGTAGTTCAAAGTTTGATTAATTACAAAATCCTTTTTTGGTTTTGGTATTGAACAGTTGTATATTTCAGGCTGGTCCTCCTGCTTTAGACATACTTTTTTGTGTCTCTGCTGCAGGAAAAGGTATTTGATTTAGAGCAGTGGTTCCCAACCCATGAGTTTTCTCTGAGGTTGCCAGGCAGTGGTGAGCTATGAAAATGTCAAAAAGGAAAGAAAAAAAAATCATGTCATCACATCCTGCACAGAGATTTGTTTGCATATATTATATTGTAAAATATATTTTTGATGTGTTTTCATTTACTCTATTTAAAAGTCTATTTTTAATGTATTGGAGTTGTGGGTCACTTTGTCTCTGTAAAATGGGATCACGACTCAAAAAATGTTGGGAACCTCTGATTTAGAGGAAGCAACCCTCTAGGGTAGTTCTTGTGCTTGGGGCTATATGAAGAGGTGGAGTTGCACTGAATCACCTTTCTGGTCCACTGGCTGAAATCTCCGGACACCAACTGGATCATAGTGTGGGTCTGCTTTCTTTGTTGTTCTGGGTTTTTTCCCCCTGTTTTAGTCCTTATAGTCTTTGTTTTTCTCAGTTTTATTAGGTGTAGGATATAGTTCTAAAGCACGGTCCTTATCATTTTTTTTCACCTACAATTTCAGATAATCTCCATGCTGATTTCTCTGTGTTACAAGATCTTCCTAGCCGTGTTTTTCTTGCTAGGTTTTTTTGAGGGAGAACTTTTTATTAAACTGTACTGCAGGGGTCCTCAAACTAAGGCCCAGGGGCCGAATACGGCCCTCCAAGGTCATTTACCCGGCCCTCACTCAGGGTCAACTTAAGTCTGAAATGACTTGAAAGTACACAACAACAACAACAACAACAACAACAACAATCCTATCTCATCAACCAAAAGCAGGCACACGCTTCTCATTGAAATACATTCATGCTTTTTTCAAATTATAATCTGGCCCTCCAATAGTTTGAGGGACTGTGATCTGGCCCTCTGTTTAAAAAGTTTGAGGACCCCTGCTGTACTGTCTCGTTGTTGTTGTTGTTGTTGTTGTTGTTGTTGTTGTTGTTGTTGTTGTTATTTGAAACATAACAAGATGAATCCACAGCAGACAAGATCACTCTGCTGGCTGTTGTATTGGATCACACGTCAGACACTTCCCACACAGTCTAGGACTATGTGATGTATCGGCAAATAATGTGTGCAGATCCCAGTAAGGTGGCCTTCTGTAGCTGGCAGATGGTAATTTTGTCAGCGCCGATTGTGTTTAAGTGCAGGCCAAGGTCTTTAGGCACTGCAACCATTTTGGTAGCTTGATGTTACGTATTTGTGGTCTCTCTGATTCACCTATACTGGTTCTAAACCTTCCTGCTACTACACTTACAAAAAGTTATGGCTTCTGTTCTCCCCAAATCCCCTTTGTCTGCTTCAGTAGCACTTGGAGCCTCCTTTGTTAGGGAACATTTTATTCAGTCTTCATAGGCATACAAAGCACTTTATTTTATTCAGTTTTTGTTGATTTATTGAGCATTTTGAGTTATTTTATTTTCTATGATTTTATTTTTCATTCTTTCTCCTGTAGCAGTTTGAAAGTAATGCATTAAAAGTAATCACATTACCTTGTTACATTGCATTTTATTGTTACACTGCATTACATTGGGGACAAGGATTTTTGTTTTTACCATTCTTAAAATGTAACAGAGTTGCTTTGGGTTAATGAGCAACATTGGTTTCAGAAGGGCTTTTTATTTTTAAATAGTTAAAAAAAGAATGACAACACCTTAGTAATGTATTACTAACGTGTCACTTTTGAAGTACTTTGAAAAATACCATTCCAATTAATAAATAATACAGCAATAGTCCTGGTTTGAAAATGCTGCTGCTTAATGCCAGTTTGGTGAATGCTAAAATAGCTGCCATTTTGAACAAGATCCTAGATGAATGTGCTGACCCGATATGTATTATACATACCAGGTTATATGAGGGTGGGAAAAATTAATCTCTCTCAGTTTTTCCCACTAGGTTTTTCTCTGCAAAACAAAAGGCAAGACTTTGTTGGTAGGGAAGTGAATTACAGTGGTCTATTATTATAGAACTGTCCGAAAATGTTTTGGATTCTCAGTCACAAAGGATAATACTACCCACTCAACAGTTTACTGCTGTTTCATAGACTTGTAGTTGAGACAGTTAAAGGGGAGGGTGACCTTGGTCCCTGTTCATTCACTGTCAATTGATATTTTCCTCATACAGTCATACCACGACAAATGAAATCTAAATCCAGGTGACACTTAACTTAAGAATGTTACTCTGTTTGCTGTGCATTTGCATAGTAACACAACTTCAAGGTCACTTGTATGTTTATAGTATTCTGCTCTACAATTATGCTGAAGATTCACCATTTTAAGCTGAACCTTTTATAGTGAAAGAAATAGAGAATGGATAAAATAAGTGTTCATTTTAACTCCAAATCTGCCCTTGACTTATGTATGAGATTGATTTATACATGAATATATATGGTACTTCTATGTGCATAAGTATCCCTAGGAATTTATTTCAGATGATTAATTTTATTATAAATAAGACGATAAAAGATATTGCACAGGATTTAGAGAAGTGGTTGGATTCAAAGATGAGTTTGTGGTGTAAGAAAACATGATTAAAATGATGCTATCTTGAATTGTTTATGTTATTTATGTAAGTCTTCTACGGTACTTAAATCTTGCAAGTATTTTCAAAAACTAAATGCATTGTTCCAGAGATTTTGGTAGGTCATCTCCTCCTAGAATTTCAAGGAAAGGGTGCAAATTCCATTCAAAGAGAGGAAGGGTTCAGCCTTCCAGATCCTCAGAGGTTCTTCAAAGGACCAGCCCCCTGCCAGTTGCCCACTCCCGCCTTAAGGTGTCCCAAATACCAAACTATTTTAGACCTTTAAATTTTCGGAAATAGCACCATGAACTGGAATCACACAAGTAGCTCGTTCATCAGTGCTACTGCTTGAGCATGGAAGAAGCAACATCTTTTAAGAAACTGTCCAAACGATTAACCTGTTATTTAAGGGGGAGAGAGCAGATTGTACACATGTAGTGTAGGCTGTATTCTTAACCCAGGATCAACTCATCCATTAACTAGCATGTTTTTATTTTACTGGGATAGACTTCAGTTTGCTTCAATTCTTCCAGGTCTTTTATCTGCTTTTAAATGCTGACTTGGGGGTTCTCTTAGAAAGATAGCATATGAAGTAGTAAAAAAAAGCTAAGACATAGGCCGTGGTCTACATATCTGCCAGGGTATTCCTGCTTCTAGGCAGGGGGTTGGACTGGATGGCCCATGAGGTCTCTTCCAACTCTATGATTCTATGATTCTATGATTCTATGGTAGTTATCCTGTGC